CAGGCTTCTGTAGATCTAGCGATCTTGTAAATGAACCTTGCTTCAGAGCTGGTGATCCTCGGGTGAATGAAAATCAAGGTGGGAGAAATTAGTGACGTAACTTCAAAATCGTGCTGTTAAGAAGTGCGAACTCAGCTTAGAGATAACACTAGCTCATAATAAAACTGAACAATGAGACACAAATACCTTTTAGTGTTTACCGGCAGGCATACATGTTTATTTGAATTTCGCTTAGAACGGTTTTCAAATGAGTTTCGTAGAACCAATATTAAAGTAATCACTCTAGCCAATCACAAAGGACACAAACAATACAGTGAACCTATCAAAACTCCAAGTGCATGCATGTGGCTGACGCCAAGCGCGGGAAAACATGGACGAGCGAGTGACGATTAGTTTAGGTTTCACTTCTGATTAAATGAAAAAGTGCGCAAGTTTTGTAAGTCAATCGTGTAGCGGAGTAATGCAAAAGTGAATTTTTACTGAACTCTACTTAAACAACCATTATATTCTCTTGTTTGACAGCTTTAATGGCAATGCACGCTCTGTGGGTTCGTGAACACAACCGCATTGCCAAACTCCTACACTTATTAAATCCATGGTATAATGACGAGAAACTGTTTCAAGAGGCGCGCCGAATCGTTGGTGCCATGATACAACACATTACATATAATGAATGGTTGCCAGCACTCATCCCCAGTCAAACTTTGGTAAGATCCAGATGGAAGAACATAATGTGATAATTCATCCTTCTTTTCTCATTACGAAAAAAAATACGTAGATATCCATTTATTTGTAACTTCTAAATTATAAGAAAGTTCTGTTCAAAGGGTTACGTGATCACACACAAAAAGGGCTTATCCACAAACTTTAAGTGGTACTATGATCAAATTTTTACCTCTTGAATTGTAAGCTTAATCACATAGAATTCCACGGAAGACAAAAGCGCCATTTTCCATTTGCAAATATCTGTATTAGTTCCGAAGATATTAAAAATGTGAGATATGTAAATCCGCAACTTATGATGCACTTTAGGGTAAGGTATAAAAAGTACTCAGTACTGCTCTAGACTGGTCTCCTTTCGGCATTTCGTACGCTTCTTTAGTGGTTTCGGCAAAACTTCGGGCATGCATCATATCGATCTCGACGAAACACGTTAAAGCATGAATCGATTGTTGAATTATTATTTTGATCCGGAGCGCTCCAAGTGTTTGGATATTAATAACGGCGTACACACCTGCAAAACCTATTTAGCATCAGCAGTACACCTTATAATCTAAGAGATTCTGAGATCAAACTAGACTTACCCAAGCCGCGCACGAACTACTGCAAGCGCGGCTCTGTTCCAAGTGAATGGATATTAACAACGAACGACCGTCTTCTGTTTCAGAGGCAAGAAGCAGGAGTTGCGTTAGAGGCACCTGGAACATTCTTCGACGGTTACGATCCTTTTGTAAAGTGTGTAATGTTCAACGAATTCTCTACGGCTGGTTTAAGAATAGGCCACACCCTGATTCGGGAAACCTTTACACTGGCGGATGGAGTTCGTAGGGTGGACCGCCTGAATGAATCTGCAGTCGATTTTTTTGACCCAGCAGTGCTCTACGAACTAAACTTAGGAGTCAATCCCTATACAGGTTTATATCTTGGATTAGCTTTGGAAAGAGCCTTCGAATTTGACCGGTATGTGTTCATTGTTTAGGCTTGTTTTGTAAGACAAAATAAACTGATTGACAATCGGAAAGCAAAAACTTCATTTCTCGATTGTCTTTCAG